GATAGATGAACTTGCGAGTGAGAGTGAGAGGAAGCAGACAAAAAGCAAAAGCTTTCTTCTTCCATGTCCTTTTATGTAGGCTGCAATTAGAAGGTGTGGCCAAGATTTAGGTGGGTTTTTTGACCTCACATGATCTGGATTTAAGGTGAGTCTTCTCACCTCTAATGATCCAAACAAGAGAACCCCTCACAGGTGTGCCCAGCTGCTTGGGTTTGCATTGCCAGATGACAACCGAGATCAGCCATCACACACCAGTACACTGTGGTTTCACAATGTCTTTCTGCTCGGATTCTCAGCTCCGTTAGTTTTCTCAGTGTATCACTTCTAGGTCTGCACTTGACTTATTGCCTTTTTTTCCCTCCCAGTTAGGGACAGATTTTCCTCCTTTGCATGCTCATCTTTTATTGTCTGCCCATAGTGAGTTTTTTGTTATTGCCTGCTTGGTGTGTACTTTTCCAGAGAGCTGGCTGTGGTTGGAGTACAGTTAGATTATTTGGACTCCATGGGGTTGTTTTGTTAGTGGTGATGCTTGGATTCCCTAGGTGGGAACTATCTGTTCCTGATGGGTCACAATAAGGACTGATTTTCCCTATTCTGCTTATTGAGAGTGTGAACTGTTCCAAACCCTGTCATTGCATTCTCCTTTAATACTCTGACCTATAGTATGAATGAGCTTTGTCTCCAAAACTCACTGTGACTGCCAGACTGCCTGGCTTTGCTGTCCTGTGTTGTGACCTGGAAGTAGCTGGCAGGCAATGTTTCCTTTCTGAGGTATCAGTCACACCCTGCATTGCTGTTGTCTGATGTTTGAAAACCAGTGTTTCCTATGTATGTTGTACTGTTTTGTTGTAGTCCAATGGAAAGTTAATTTTTAACACTTGGCCATTTGGTATGTGTTAAAATATATTTTGAGAGTCTTGCCTAGACCAGCGTTGACCTCTTAGTCCTGTCTCAGCCCTGAACCTAAGATTACATGTGTGGCAATCATAAGTTTACTTTTTATTTAGCAAGTGTTTGAATCCTGCCATGTTCAAATACAAATTTGAGCTCCTTGAGCTCACAAAAGAGATGTGTGCAAACAGTGGCACCTGAAAATTAAGGGACAAACCACTTGGAAAGCATAAAGGAGATGTTAAATGTTGGGGAAGGGGCATGGAAAGATGAGAGAGGAGTCAAGCTTTCCTCAGAGATCCTTGAAGATGCATGAAGAGTGAGTGTAGGCTAGCTAAGTGAGTAGTTTTAGAGCATAATAACAGGAATTGGTAATTTAGGAGCTGTGATCACCAGTATGGATTGAGGAAATTTGTGGTTGACTGTATGGTGTTGGTTTGCTGGCTTTTAATTAAATAGAATGGAGAGTGTTTAGAGAAGTTTTATTCAAGTTTTAAGCATACTTTTTTTCCTTCGAGACAGGATTTCTCTGTGTAGTCCTGGCTGTCCCAGAGCTCCTTCTATAGACCAGGGTGGCTTCAAACTCAGAGGTGCGCCTGCCTCTCTGTATTAGAGTGCTGGGATCAAAGGTGTGTGCCACCACGCCTGGCTTAAACATACTTATTTTTATAGTAACTATACTTGGCTTAGTCTGTTTCGTGTTGCTGTAACAAAATACTTGAGGTGAGTTATTTTCTAGAGCGAGTAGATTTATTTAGCTTGAAAATTTACAGACTCAAAGTCCCAGATTGAGCAGCTCCAACTTTTCAGCCTCTAGTCAGGGCTTTGTAGATGAATCACAACATAGTAGATAACACCATGGCCTGAGTGTGTGTAGAGGAAGATATTGAATGGTGGGACTGGAAGCCAGAGAGCTGGAAGGAGCTGCTTTAGACCAGCTCATGGAGTGCTTCATCTAGTCCCATGGGAGTTAGAACTGCCATGGAGCAACAGTAATTTATTTGTGAAGGCTGTGCCTCCAGGGCCTAGAGATCCCCAGAGTCACACATCTTCAGTGTTCCACTGTCTCTACCATACTCTTGACCAACTCTCTAGGACGTAAGCCTCGGGGGCAGGTCATATCCCAACCTAGCAGAGATGCTTAATTGTAAATGTTTAGTAGAGCAGTTAGATAAGAGGAGTTGAAACTAAAGCATAGGACTGAAGTGAAACTCGACATTAGGAGCTTCATTGTGTGGTTCAAACCACAGGTAATGTACCTTCGGAAAACTAAATAGGAAGAAAACGTGAGGACAAGGATTAAGGAAAAAATAGTATTGATGAAACTGGATCTTCTAAGTATGTGGCTTTAGAAATAACCTGATTTATAGGTTGTGATTTGAGAGCTAGTGCGGAGGATGAGTCATGGTTGCAATTACTGTTGGGAAGGTGTTTATGCCTGAGTCCTTTGATTATAAAAAAGGTCAAGTTATAGATGGTGTTGAGTTGAACAGTTCTTAAGCTAGAGGTGAGGTAAGAAGGCTTGGGAAGTTGTGGTTTTTTAATCATTAAGTATTTATGCGCATCTAGAAAAATACAAGATAATTGTTCATGATAAAAGCACTATCTGTAATGTATCTACTGTGTGTGTGTATTTACATTTATGCACACACAGGTACAGATTTTATACTGAACGAGAGATAATGCATGTATGTTGGAACTGGCCTTATTTTTCTTGATAGTTTTATCATCTTCCCATAAAATCAGATAGATGACATTTTGTAACATTAAAAAAAAATCATCTTTTCAAGACCTTTCCTAGGCTTGTGCAGCTGCCTTTTAATTTCAAGTCATTTGCAGCATTCTGAAATCTGCTTCTTCACTCATGTGTATTATTCAACCCCATCATGGGTAATAAGTGAATTTCTTTAAATGAAGGAACTTGTAGATTACTTTTAGTTTTTATCTTTGGTTCACTGACTAGTTGTGCACTATTTTGTGAATTTTGTGGAAGCAGGTATGCAGGGAGGTTTTGAGAGGTGACGTCGCAGAGTCAGGTGTGTATTTTTGTTCAGCACCCTGCATCTCTGTTCTGTGTTTTATAGTTGTTTCTCTGATTGTTTTTATGTATCTTTATGAATTTTGTGACTTTTTTCTTCTAAATATGTATGTACAGTTGTTTATTAAATCTGTTTTTCCTGGTGCACGCTGCTTTTGTGCCGTTCTTCAAGAGATTTACTTTACTAGCAGTGCTTTTATTTCCTGTTTCTTGCCTGAGTTCTAGCCACTCCACTTCCAGCTATTTGCTTTCTGCTTGGCTTGTCTCTCATCACGTCTCTATCATATCAACTAAGTTCCCTCTTATTTCTTTACTATCCTCTGATTCCTTGCTTAGAATTCTTCTCTCTTCATCCAGAAGAGGGCATAAGCAGGTGTTGAGTGTGAAGGTTGTTATGACAGTATTTATGTTTGCTCTTGTGCAGCTGTAAACTAGAGTAACCCTCCCTTGCTCTTTTCTTGGTCTTCTACCTGTCTTTGCATTTCCAAAGGTCTTTTGTTTGTTTGTTCGTTTTCCTCAGAACAGTGCCATGTAATTCCATACTGATTCTCTTTTACATTGTACAAGTAGTCTTTTGGTAGGTATGTGAATTAAGTTAAATACAAAGTGGCGTGTCTGTGCTCCCTGCCATGATGGACTAAATCTCTGAAACTGCCATGGACTAAATCTCTGAAACTGTAAGCAAGCCCTCAATGGAATGTTTTCTTTTCTTTTTTTTTTTTTTTTTGGTTTTTCGAGACAGGGTTTCTCTGTGTAGCTTTGCGCCTGTCCTGGAACTCACTCTGTAGCCCAGGCTGGCCTCGAACTCACAGAGATCAGGCTGGCCTCGAACTCACAGAGATCCGCCTGGCTCTGCCTCCCGAGTGCTGGGATTAAAGGCGTGCGCCACCACCGCCCGGCGGAATGTTTTCTTTTATAACAGTGGTCATGATGTCTCTTTACAGCAATAAGACAGTGTCTAAGAGAGATGATGTGTGACATACACTCACACCTCAGTTTTATCTCTGTAGTAAAAGTATAAAAATAGAAGATGAAATTAGAATGATATTACAATTTAGTCTTTTTAGAATCTGGGGAGGGAACTAGAATGAAGTTGTGCTGAGGTGAATGACTTAGAAACCTCAAATAGACATGCCTTGAAGAGATGGGCTTGATTAACTGAAGATACTGAAACTTAAGTAAGCTTTTCTTAAGCATTTATTGCTTTAATTTTTTGTTTTTTGTTATTTACAATTCAGTTCTTAGCTTCTACCCTTTACTGTAATCAAGCATTTTCCTATGAGTCTTTGAATCATATAGGACCATTGTTTTCTCACTGTTTTTAGTGTGTGACACAAGTAGACCTTAAATGACTGGACAGCATTCTACACTCAGATGCAGCATTGACTGGCTGCTTGATGTTCTTAGTTGGCTGAAGTCCCCAAAAGTTTTTATGAAAGCATCATTAAAAAGTTCAGTATTAGGTTGAGAGTTTTGTGTGTGAGGTGTGTAATTCTTCTAATCCTTTTCTGAACTCCAGTCATTGGTATACTCTTAAACTTCCGGATAAGGATTTCCATTTTGTCCGTCTGTAATTTTATAGTATAAGTACAAATTTCACATTCGCATTTGTGTAGTTTTAAAACCTTCTGTTGAAGAGGTAATAATGCCTGCAGCATTTAGTGTTGCTGCAGGGATAGATGAGTGACTTGGGCTATGAGAATGGATTCTTTGTGACAGGGTCCAAGTTTATAAAGATTCCCAGCAATCTTTGTTGAGATTTTGCAGTTAAGAGGGGCAGTGAGATTGAACGTAATAGCAAACTATAATTGTGAGCCTAAAAGGATTTTGTAATACTTTTATATCTCATTAGGGTATCCATTTTCACCTCTTTTTTTACTTCTCCCTCCACATAATATATATATTATATATATATATATAATATATATATATATGGTTGCTATATAGTCTCAGTATTTTTGTTCATATTTTTCTTTAAATGCACACATTTAAAGAAAATATTTAGAATAAAATGCTTGCTTGAATCACTGATTAGTAAATAAGTTGTTTTCTTTTAATATGTCTCCTTTAGGTGTTTTGTGGATTTACTCTTCAGCGATTACATACTACAGTAATATCATTATGGCGGCTTTCCAGCCTTTCAGGAACAGTTACATAAAGAATAAAGCATCTGTCCGAAAAGTAAGTTCATAGTATTAGGTTCCTTTCAGTGGAAATTAAAAAAATATGTGGGTTCTTTCATAGTTTTTAAATGAATCTTAGTATTTAACTTACAGCATTAAAATACTGTGAAGATGAATGTATTTGAAAGTAGTGATGTGAAGTCATGATTATAATGTTAGTCTCTGAAATCTTATTTCTCAGAGCATAATTCCTCCTCCCCATTTCTTCACAGACATTTTCCATCTGGTCTTTTTTTTTTTTTTTTTTTTTTTAGCTAACTATCTTACATACATTTAGCTCTACCTTAAAGGTATATAAGAAATATTAATCACTCATTTATTCAGCATAATGAATTTACGTGCTTATTGTATGTCAGGGCTCTGCTAGATGTTGAATAATTAGTGAACAAATGAAAAATTACTTTTCTGTGTGTATGGTGCTGTGGATTGAACCCAAGACCTTGTACATGCTAGATAAATTGCTCTATCACTGAGCTGTATTCCTAGCCCAGCTTCACATCCTCTTCCTACCTTTTGGGTTTTTATTTTGCTAGAAGGTCTCAGTACATTAGTTAGGCTTGCTTTGAAGTAGCTTTATATGCCAGACAGGACTTGAGCTTGCCACTGGTCCTGCCTTGTCCTCCCAAGTAGCTAGGATACAAGCCTGCACTACAGCAGACTTGGTCATTATTTCTCATCTGAGGGAGAACCTCATACTCCTCCTAAAACAGTTTGGTTAGTCTGTATCTTGACTTTGATTTTTTGTCTTTGCTATAACTTTGGGTCATCACCAGAGGAAGAAGAAAGGGAACTACAGGATGTTGTCTGTTAACAGTGCCTGGACTTCAGCCTCTTTTCATGACACTGTTGACCTTGCCCATGACGACCATCTTTGAGTTCATGAAGGTGTTTTCCTTTTTTATTTTGATAACTCTTCTCTCTTTTGATAATGCTTATAAAGTGAGAAGATAATTCATTTAAGGTGGATGAAGATGGGTAAAAGCCTTTTAATTACCAATTGTCAGCTTTATGACCTTTATGATTTATATAATACTTGTTTCCTATGGTGGCAAGTACATTATTTACCCTCACTCATTTATTATTTATTTATATTCCTCTGGATTCACAGTTTTTTTTCTTATAAACTCTTGAGTTTATATTGATAGTTCAAGCTCATATTTGTATTCTTTCCTTTTTGTGTTCACAAATCAGTGAGAAAACCTCTATTTATTAATGAAAACAAAACTAAATATTGGTTGTTTTAAGGCCTACTGAATAGTTGTGAAAAAAACCTCAGAACGATAAGCAACTCATATATTTTCTACTTGATTCACTTTCTGTTAGCATCTTGCCATACCCGTTCTCTTCTCTGTGCACACCTCACATTTCTCTTTATAATTGTGTGGAAAATGCCTTTTGGAGCTTGTTTTATATGTTAATGTGATTACCACTCCTAAGAAAACCATTTGTCTGTAACTTCATCTGACGTTTAGTCTGATAAGTTTCCCCCCAGTTGTTTCAAATATCCTTGTAACTTCTTCTTGTTTCTTACCTAGAGTCTACTCAAGGTTTTTCACATAATGCATTTGAGTATTTTGATTACCACCATTCTAGACCATTCCATTGGTTTAGATATACCACATTTTTGGAAAGATCTGAGGTAGTTGTCCAGTAGAACATCCCAAGTCGGTTTTCAGTGTAGTTCTCTTCATCAGGAATACCTCAAAGACTTCGTTTTTTTATTGCTCTCTGTCAGGTCAGGAGAAGCATATTGTTGATGTTTTTAAGGAAGTGGTCAGGATTGTAACCATCTGTTGTCGCCAATATAAATGCAGAATAAATTTGATTAAATGCTTAACAAGGAAGCTATGTGGTGATAGTTTGAGAAATGTGAGTACCCTGTCTCCCAAAAGCTTTTAACCCAGTAGATTTAGGATACATTAATAATTCTTTCCAAATCAGTAATTATGTTGAGAGTTACAAAGAGGATTTTCTAATGGGATCAGTTTGTCCATATTTGTCAACTAGTGATCATAGGTAAAGAAGAATGCTGTATAATTGAATGCAGGAGTTACAGTACATTACCATTTCTGTTCCTTTTGATGCCCTGATTATTCCAGATTTAGCCAGTGGGGATTCCTGGTCAATACACTGAACTCTGTGTTCCTTTGAAATTGCCCAATTAGTCTGTGAGTACTCCCTGTAGTCTGGCACAGTTAGATGATATAACCTCTTTTATATGTTCTCTGTCTAGGATCTGGAATCAGACATTTTTTTGAGGGGCTCTGGGTATTTTAATTGATGATTGGTATTTAGAAACCAAAATCTGGGTATGGGATCTGCTCATTGCTACTTGGGGGTCATTGCTTCCAAGCCCCTTCAGTGGAATATATGTATATATATTTAAAGAAATTTGGGCTCTTATTGATAGGTGAGATTGAAATTTAACATTACGTACTTTTTTCTTGAATTCTTGAATAGTATTATCTTTTAGATTATAGATTTGTATTTAATGAATTTTTTTGTAGTTAGCAACTGTTTGTTGACTTCATGTAAAATGTGAGGAGATAAAGTAAATGGAATATAGTTTCCACGATTTGGTTCAGTGGGTAGAAAAGATAAACATATGAATATTATAATCATAATATGCTATGACATAGGTCAAATGACCTTAATCTGCAAACAGTACAGGAGAAGAGTAGACTAAGGGATGGGAAAATCTTCAGTCTTGGCATGGATAGGGTTTCTGTGGACAGGACTGCTGAGTAAGGCGTTCCCACAGTCTAGAGGAGTAGGTTACATACCAGCAGAGGAATAACGGCGGCAGGGGGAATTGAGTGTTGCCTTTCGGTCTGACTGTAGTGTTCATTATTTCCTCCGTGTCCTCTTCCTTCCTCAGGTCCTCTGCATTTGTGACAACTGCCTTTCACAGACCTGGAATCTTTTCCCTTACTTCCATCATACAGCTGCCTTAAGACCTCTGGAAAAATCTTATTTTTAGCTACTGTCTTTTTTCTTTGTCTCTCAAGGGAAGAATCATGGATGCTAATGTGCTATTTTCTATCTCCTATATCTCACTTGTTATGTGAGTTGTTTTGTTCTGCTAGTGACTTGGAAATAAGATAGGCAATTTGTTAATTTTAGTGTAAGGTAAGTGTAAGTAAATCTGGAGCGTAAGGCCTGTATGGTCTTTGAGTAACTTGACTTTTTTCTTAGCTGAACTGAGTCCAGCAAATAATGTAAAAAAGTGCCAAATGAATTGATTGGAGAATAAGTAGCTATGTAAAACTCAGTGTCTGTAAGCTCTCTTACATGTCTTAGAATTCACGTGTTTTATTTGTTTATTCCCCAGAGCTTCAGTGAAGATGTGTTCCAGTCTGTCAAGTCTTTATTACAGAGTGAGAAGGAGCTATGCAGTGTATCAGGAGGAGAGTGTTTAAACCAGGATGAACACTCCCATTTAACTGAGGTTTGACGTGTGACTTTTGAACCTTTCCTAGTGAAGCACACTGTGTTCTCATGCACCTTTGTAGGACTGCAGATTTAAAAAAATCTGTACATAGTACTAATATAGGTATTGGGAGACAGTTAGTTTCTTTGAGAGTGTGACCTGATAGGTTGACCATGCTCCAATGAAAGCCTCATACTGGAGAGTATTTGTAACACAAATTGGACCTGATTTTTTTTTTTTTTTTTTTTTTTTAAAGAGAACACAAGGTTGGGTGGGTAGGGGAGTTGTGGTGAATCTGGGATAAGTTGAGGAGGGTGAATAAGATCAAAATACATTGTGTGAAATTCTTAAATAATTAATAAAAATGTTATTTAAAAAGAATTGCATGTTTTAAATTGTAACTAACATCATTGGCTGACTATTATCAGCCTGTTTGTAAGTGCACAAGTATTACTGGCCTCTCATTGGCCAGGTAGAGCTAATTCAATGGCTGCTACTTTAATACTAAGTTTCTTTTATCCTGAAACATGAAAAAATATACTTATTTCATGTGGTCACTTTTTAATTTCTTTTCTTGACTATTTTATTGTTTTGATTTAAAGTTTAAAGTGGTGGTAAGTTTGTCTTTGGGATTAAGATACTTACCACTTGGGAATGTGATATATATATATATCTCCAATGTTTTCATCTCTGTTTGAATTTATTGTTATTAAAAGGACTGATATTCTTTAAAGCATCTGTGTACCATCATCACATGCATATTACAAATTAAGAAAGGTGGTATTGAGGCTAAGAGTATAGCTTAGGGGTAGATAGATCATTTGCCTAGCTTGTACAAAGCCTAGATTTAGTACCCCAGATCAGAAAAAAAAGTGATATTAGGTCTTCACAGCCTAAAATTGGTGCTCCGACTTGAAATGAGGTGGGATTTTTTTGTTTTGTTTTGTTTTTGTTTTTTCTTTATTAAGAAATTTTCTACTCACTCCACATGCTATCCACAGATTCCCCCCTCTTCCCTCCTCCCACCCCCTAGCCCTCTTTCCCAAGCCACCCCTCATCCCCACATCCCCCAAATCGAGGTCTCCCATGGGGAGTCAGCAGAGCCCAGCACACTGAGCCTAGGCAGGTCCCAGCCCCTTCCCACTGCACCAAGGCTCTGCAAGGTGTCACACCACAGGTACCGGGTTCCAGAAGCCTGCCCATAGACCTGGGACAGATCCCGATCCCCCTGCTTGAGTGCCCCCCAAACAGTTTGAGCCAAACAACCATCTTCCATATCCAGAGGGCTTAGTCCAGTCCCATGGGGGCTCCACAGTCACCAGTCCACAGTTCATGGGCTTCCACTAGTGTGGCCGGTCATCTCTGCACATCCTCCCATCATGATCTCGACGATCCTCGCCTGTAGTATCCCTCCTCTCTCTCATCAATTGGATTCCCGGAGCTCAGCCTGGTGCCTGGCCATGGATCTCTGCATCTGCCTCCATCAGTCACTGGACAAAGGCTCTATGATGACAGCTAGGTTATTTGCTAGGCTGGTCACCAGAGTAGACTGGTCCAGGCACCCTCTGAACCACTGCCAGCAGACCAAGGTTGGATCAACCTTGTAGATTCCTGACAGCCTCCCCAGCACCCTGCCTCTTCCTATTCCCATGATGTCCTCTCTATCATGGTATCTTCCTCCCTGCCCTCCCACTCTGTCCCTGTTCCAGCTTGACCCTCCCATTTCCCTATGTTCTAATCCCCTACTCCTCACCCTCTGCCACGCCCCCACACCCAGTCCACTCATGTAAATCTCATCCACTTCTCCTTCACAGGGCCATCCATGTGTCCCTCCTAGGGTCTTTCCCTGTTAGCTAGCCTCTCTGGAGTTGTGGGTTATAGTCTGGCCATCCCTTCCCTCACATTTAGTATCCACTTATGAGTGAGTACATACTATGTTTGTCCTTCTGAGTCTGGGTTACCTCACTCAAGATGATATTTTCTAGTTCCATCCATTTGCCTGCAAATTTCATGATATCATTGTTTCTTACTGCTGAGTAGTACTCCATTGTGTATATGTGCCATATTTTCTTTATCCATTCTTCAGTTGAGGGGCATCTAGGTTGTTTCCAGGTTCTTGCTATTACGAATAATGCTGATATGAACATAGTTGAGCATGTGTCCTTGTGGTAAGATTGAGCATTCCTTGGGTATATGCCCAAGAGTGGTATAACTAGGTCTTGAGGAAGACTTATTCTCAATTTCCTAGAAACTGCCATACTGATTTCCAGAGTGGCTGTACAAGTTTGCATTCCCAGCAACAGTGGAGGAGTGTTCCCCTTGCTCCACATCCTCTCCAACATAAGCTGTCTTCAGTGTTTTTGATCTTAGCCATTCTGACAGGTGTAAGATAGTATCTCAGAGTTGTTTTGATTTGCATTTCCCTGATGACTAAGGATGTTGAGCAATTCCTTAAATGCCTTTCAGCCATTTGAGATTCTTCTGTTGAGAATTCTCTGTTAAGCTCTGTAGCCCATTTTTTAGTTGGATTGTTCAGTATTTTGATGTCTAGCTTTTTGAGTTCTTTATATATTTTGGAGATCAGCCCTCTGTCAGATATAGGGTTGGTGAAAATCTTTTCCCATTCTGTAGGCTGTCATTTGGTCTTATTGACCGTGTCCTTTGCTCTACAAAAACTTCTCAGTTTCAGGAGGTCCTATTTATTAATTGTCGCTCTGAGTGTCTGTGCTACTGGTGTTATATTTAGGAAGTGGTCTCCTGTGCCAATTCGTTCCAGCCTACTTCCTACTTTCTCTTCTATCAAGTTCAGTGTAACTGGATTTATGTTGAAGTCTTTGATCCACTTGGACTTGAGTTTTGTGCATGGCGACAGATATGGATCCATTTGCAATCTAATTCACAGCCTAAAAATTGGTGCTCAAACTTTTGAAATGAGGGTTTTTTGTTTTTTTTTTCAAGATAGGGTTTCTTTGTGTAAGAGTCCTGGAACTTACTTTGTAGACCAGGCTGGCCTTGGAGCTCACAGAGATCTGGAGTGCTGGGATTAAAGGCTTGCGCCACTACTGCCTGGCTGAAATGAGTTTTGTTTTCTTACTTGGTAGTGGGAGGTTCCTTCCTGAGGGATTCTTTACCTGATGTCATTCCCTAGAAAGAGGAATGAACCTGTTAGGTGAGGAGTGTTCTGTCACCTGACTCTCCCCACTTGTGAACTGGCTAATTGTGGCACTTCATTTATCTTCCTTGCCTCACTCTTTCACTTTATCTAAGTAGGTCAGAGCTCTCTTAATTCACTCAGTTGTTGCCATGTGAGAAATCTCTGGTGCCCTCCCACCCTCAGTTTTGAAGCCCATAGTCCCTGGTTGTTCCCATGCCCATGTTCCCAGCCTGTTCCTTCATGAGGTCTTTCTTGTCACCCAGAAGTAGACTGACTCCCTTGGTATCTCCAGAACTCAGTGACAGCTGTTTTTCTCTTTTGTGTTCAGCAAGGAAACTTGAAAGAAGAGATTTCTGTCCCACTTTAGGGTATGGATATCTCAAATACCTGAGTTTTGGGTTTTTTTCCTTTTTCCAGTGTACTGGTTTATTTTAAGCCAAGTATTTCTGAGTCTCAAGTACTGTTGCAGCTTGGCAGTGGCTGACTTAAAAATTTGTTGTTGTTGTTTAAGTTTTCTTGCAGGTATATATTATATATCACATCTGTTCCCCTGTACCCTAATACTCACACCTTCTCTCTTTACATCCCTTCTTTTCTGTTAATCCCATTCCTCTAGACAACTTTACTTCTTTCACTTAATAGAGAAATACATGCTTTTATGTGATTGTGTAAAATCTAGGAACATAAGTATCTGTTTGAAAAAAGGAAAGAAGTAAGTGCCCATGTTTTAGGAAGGGAAGCTGTATTGCCTGGAAATGTTATGAGAGATAGGCTTCTACAGGTTAACAGTTTGCCAGATCCCTAGAGGGTGCCTAACACTCCATTTAATTAGTAGCCATAATTAATTAAAGTGCCAGGATAATTTTAGATTCTGATTAGCTTCTGAGTTATCAGAAAGGAATCAGGGTCTTCAGTGTAGTCTTATATTTTAACCATCCCACTTTCCCCCAGTTTGTTAATTGCTATTATTTAAATATTTTGTGTTTCTAGACACAGCACTTACTTGGTAGATAATTCACTATTTTTTTTTTCCAAAAGGAAAGGTGCTAGTATGATGACAAGGGCATAAATATAAATTGAAGAAAGAACTTTTCAGTCTATTTTCTTTGTAGAAAAATTTGAGTACTGGAAATTTTAAAAAGAAAGTGACTATTGTTTATCCTGTGAGTTAGGAAGAAGAGTACAGAGGACAGAAGGAAAGTAAGGTCATATGAAAGAAACTTCCAGTTAATCACTGATGACTAGTTTGGTGCAGTGCCTTTCAATTCAGTATTCAATAATTTAAGAATAAGGAAGAAGTTATGGGCATATTACATAGTTTTTTGTAATTTGTACTTTTTACTTAATAATGTATTTCCTCCTGCCATTAGAGAGGCCATAGAAATTTAAAATCTGTGAACTTGGGTAGGGAGTAGAAGGAGGGTGTTGAGAGAATGTTGGTAGACTCACATCCAATGAGGAAGGAGCCTGGGATATCTACACAAGGAAGGTCTCTGAGAAGGCTGCTGCAGCAGGAGTGAAGAGGAGGCAGGCCTAGAAGTCTGAGGAAGAGTCCTATCAAGGGGATACAGCTGCAGGAGCCTGAAGCAGTCATAGACAGGGCATGTGCTAGACCTAGAACGGGGCCATGGGTTTGAATGAAAATGAGGGCAGGCTGCAGGCATCTCCTAACCCAGGGAAACTGGACATGTGGCCTGACAGTGGACAAGTACAGTGGTTGTGGAGGGAAGAAGGCGTGGCAGTGGGGATGAGATGAGTGGGGAAGGCATGGCAGTGGGGATGCTGAGCTATGCTTTGAGGGTACAGTTGGTTGAGTTTGCTAGAGGGAAAGGTGGATGAGGGCTAGATGAGGTTCAAGAGCTATAGTGTGGTGGAAACCTTGCTCACTGGAAACACTGCCTGCCCAATGTACTCAGCATGCTTCCTGTGCTTAGTCAACACTCTGAGACAAGACTTTAAAAAGTAAATTACTGGAGATTTCTTTTTCTTTCTTTCATTCTTTCTTTTTTTGATTCAGGTCACATTTCTGGGCTTTAATGAAGAAACAGATGCTGCTCATATACAGGTGTGGTCAATTTATTGAATTCACAAAGACTGCGGGAGACTAAAAAATTTTGGAGACTGAAAAATTTACTTTAATGCTCAAAATTTACAATAATTTAAAGGTATCTTTTAAAGTTAAAAGATGACATTTGAAGCTAGGCGTGGTGGTGCATGCCTTTATTTCCAGAACTCAGAAGGCAAAGGCAGGCTGATCTTTGAGTTCAGGGCTAGCCTAGGGCCAGGCTGGTCTGTATAGTGTGTTCCAGGCCAGCCAGGGCTATATAGTGAATGCCTCCCTTTTAGTCTACACCCCATCTCCCCCAAAACAAAAATGACATTTGAGATCAATGTTTTGAATGTGATCTGTACATTTCACTTTCAACATTTTTATTAAGGATTCTTTTGTTATTTTTGAGATAAGGTCTTGTCATATATCCTTGATCTGGCCTTGAACTTGTAGAAATCCTCCTACTTCAACTTCCCACATGCTGGGATAACAACTGTGTGCTGTCGTGCCTGGCTTTTGACAATAATTCTTGCTATGGAAAGGTGCTTTAGGTTTGACTATAAAAATCATTTGTCTGAAAGCTTTAAACCACAGGCTGTTTTCTTGATTCTGTCCATTATCTTTTGTACCATTTGTATATTTTGATAGTTTTCATAATTTGACTTTAGCAGTAAAAGTTCTTGTATTTTTATTGAAATAGAATTAAATATAAAAGATCAATTTTTTAAAGTCTCAGTTTTTACACATTTATAAACTTGTGCAAATGCTGATAGCCTGTTTCATTTAGGCGTTTATAGAGAGATTGGTACTTGAGGTTGGGGTCAATGAAGGGGAGCTTGGCAATTGCGCAGGTCACTGTAAATACAGTTTTTCCTTTGCTGCTGTAAGAAAACTGGTAACTCTTCGTTAGTGCTTCTGGTGAGTATGCCTGCAAACTCTAGACTGTCTGGATTTTCTTAGCTGGAAGGCAATACCTTGGACAAAAGGAACAGATAGGGCACACTCTTCAGAACAGCATACAGTGTATAACAGACTGTGCAAGGCTGGTGCAGGAGTGTCACTGTGAGTTAGAGTCCAGACCAGCCTGAGGAGCTGCAGAGTGCGACTGTCTCAAAATTAGAACAAAAACTACAGACTTGTAAAGTGTTCTGTTGGTCCTCAGGAGCTGCAGATGAAGACCACACTTACAAAGCTTCTACTCTCTGTGGGGCAAAGACTTGAGTGATTCTTGAACTGGAAAAAGTAGTTACTTTAAAAAAGAGAGGAAGTGAAAAAGAAAGACAGTTTTCCTTTAATTTCCTAAATCTTTGAAGACTCACTACAAAACCTTCATAAGAAAATGGACTTGTATTTTACAGAGTTAAAACTCAAACTCTGAAGAAGGGTGTTCAGTAGTTAAGAATTCTTTATGAAAAACTCCATAGTCAAACCAGAGGATTTGTAGATGACAGTTGCTAAAAACAGTTGTATGCTAATGGTCATAGATATGTGAGGTGCCCTGTTAAAATTGATCAGGTAGCTCAGCAGCAATATGCTTGAAAGGCTATAAACCAGTACTAAATAACTTTAGTTTGCTCTATTTTTTGAGTTAAAAATGACTATCTGTAGATAAACTGTATATGTGAGCTGTTAGGAATTGGTTTATTGACAAATTTTATGGTTTTTTTGATATGGACAACATTGTGAACACCTTGACAGTGTTACTCTATAATGCTACTCATTGCTGTCACTGTTACTATTTAAAATTAGGATCTAGCTGCAGTTTCACTGGAACTTCCAGACCTTCTGAATTCGCTCCATTTCTGCAGTCTAAGTGAAAATGAAATCATTTGTATGAAGGATGTCAGTAAATCGCCAGATGTAAGCAATAGTCCTCTAAATCAGGTAACTGATGGATCATTTCTAATCAGTTTCTTTTAGGTTTTTACTGTATTTGCTCAGTAATAGTAAACTTGTAAGTGTTGACGCTTTTCTTGTTATTTTAATTCAGTCTCAAGAAAATGATATTGATAAGAAGTCTAACAGAGCGTTGTCAGCCTTGAAGCATAGAATCATTTTGATCATGGCTTACAAACTAACTTCCCACCTGTGAAGTTCTATCAGTGTTATGCAAGCACACATTAATTTTTTAGTGAAATGTTACTGTTCGGATTTCTTTGTATAGCTGGAGTGATTGCTCCTGCTTTATGGCTATCCCATATTTACATGGGTTTCATGCTGCATGTTCTAGCAAATGGACTTCAGTTAACTTTCTGGTTAAAGATTTTCCATGTAAAATGGACAATGATGTTGTTTTCCTAAGACAGTCTTTAGTTCATTAGAAGTATAAAGTGTGGAAGAAAAATGCTTTGCATCTTAGGAAGTATGACATTTAAAATTGTATGAATAGGTTTATAATTTGGAGGACTTACTCCAGCTATAAAATGCTGCTTTGTTCATCTTGAGGTCTGTGATTAGAATTACACCTTGTTTTTTGGATCATGTGGTTTACTCACATATAACTTGTTTTTTTTGCTGGGACATAAAGGGTGATTAGCTGTTACATTTGGTTTCCCCTTTTTGAAAACAAATCACTTGTCAATGTTTGCATTTAAAAATACACTGTGCATAGGGAAAACTAATGACTTGTGCTCTTAATCCAAGTTAGAAGTATGATTGGAAGTTTTAATACCAGAGAAATACGTTAAAAGATAAGGATAGTTCTTTTTTGGTAGGAGGGAAGGTGATATGGCTGGGAGCTATAGACCATGGAATAACAAGTAAAATAGATCCTTGTTCCTGCTCTCAAGCATTCACAATGTAGTGGGTGAGTTTGGTAAATGATTGAGAACGACACATTACAAACATATACGGTAATATAGAAAACAATAATTGCCCAAGAGACTAGATTGATGGTAGGTTCTTTAACACTTAAGGAGATAAATTGGGAAGAATTTGAATACATGGGAGAAAAAAAGATGGATAAGAAAAAAAGATTAAAGTGAGATTTAAATAAAAATAAATATTCTTTTGATAACTTCAGGAAAATTAAATACTTAAAATCATTAAACATTACAGAATGAAGGAACCTTTCAGGATGCATGTGTTTCTTGCCTACCCCCACCCCCTGCCCCCTGGCTTATTTCTTGGCTTCACTTCCAGGTAATGTTTTATATTTAAACTTAAAACTGATTTTATCTTCTTTCATCTCTCCCAAGAGTCATCATTCTGGAATGCTTTGTGTCATGAGAGTGTCACCTACATTACCAGGACTCAGAATTGATTTTATCTTTAATCTCCTAAGTAAATATGCTGCTGGTATAAGACACACCCTGGACACCCACTTGCATCAAAAGCATCGCCTTGAGACCACTGATGAAGATGATGATGATACGAACCAGTCTGTATCTTCCATAGAGGATGACTTTGTCACTGCTTTTGAGCAGTTAGAGGAGGAGGAGAGTACAAAGCTGTATAATGATGGTGTGTGCCCTTTACTAGACTTTGTCCTAAAAGATTGAAGTTGAAAGTTCAGTTTTGAAGATTTAAAGGAGACTTAACAGTTGAAATTTATTTTGAAATTTGATCCAGTTTAAACATTTTAATAATTTTTCTTATTACAGAGGAATAATTTTCTTGTGATATTTAGGTTCATTATTAGGTATATTTTAATTTACTGTTTCTCTTCTTATTATTGTTTAAGCCTTGTTTAGCTCATAACCTAGTGTCTGGAACTTTCTTGTGTTCAAATGTCAAAACAGTTAGCTGGCAGTCACTAGTAATTTTTCTAACATAAATGGCAACTCACTGAGCTTTCCAAAGGTCATATATTTGAAGATACAGGGCAAAATGGGTTTGTTTTAGTAAAAGGTGCATTTGCTTCTGGGTGTTACTGGGAATGAAATTTCTGTTAAATACCATAGTATAGGAAACATGATGTAAATATTTTGTATTTAATGTCAGTTTTTTAAAACAAGTTTTCTAGAATAATGTAAGAATTTTATTGTTTTCCCTTAGAAATAAATATTGCTACATTAAGGAGCCGGTGTGATGCTGCCTCTCAGACTACTTCTGGTCACCATTTAGAAACCCATGATTTTAAAGTGCTGGTCAGTTATGGACCACAGAAATCATTGGCTAAGCCTTCATCTTCAGTACATGTTCTGGGATGCAAAGAAACATCTTCTGTGAAAACATCGGTTACAACATCAGTTTCAGAGCCCTGGACCCAAAGGAGTCTCTACAGGTCACCCAGTGCTTCAGATAAAGGCAGGGACACACAGGAGATACTCTTTCCTTCTTCTCCTGCCCACTCCTCAGAGTCTGAGTGCTCAAGCCCGAGTCCTGTAATTTTTTTGGATGAAGAGGGATACCAAAAAAGTTTAAAAGCAAAACTTGAGCTGCCCGAAATCCCTGTGACAAAAGATGATGTAGAGGATTCAGACTCGGAAGTGAGTGAGTTTTTTGATAGCTTTGATCAGTTTGATGAACTAGAACAAACTTTAGAGACTTCTTGTCCGTTTGTGAAAGATCCTGGCATAGGGAAGTCATTGCAGAAGATAGGGCACAAACATGAAAAATCTTGCATGAATCCTCAAAAGTTCAAGTTTGAGCGTCCAGCTCTTCCAGCTAACGTTAGAAAGCCAACTCCACGAAAACCTGAATCTCCATATGGTCACCTGTGTGATGCTCCAGATTCCCCTCGTCCAGTGATGGCGTCAGAAGACAGTGGCTTGTTCAGCCCTATTCGAGCCTCTGCTTTTAGTCCCCCTGGAAGCTGTACTCCTGCTGAATGCTTTTGCCAAACAGATATTGGTAGAGATAGGATTAATGAAAATCAGGATCCTATTTATTGCACTTATGAAGATTATGCAAATAATCTTTCATGTGAAGTACTAGGCTCAGTTCTTCATACTCAGTGTGCAAATGTAATGTCAGATATTAATAGTATTAAAAGGGGAGAAAATTATACTGTAGCTTTTAAACATGGAAATTCTGATCAAAAAAGTAAATGTAAAAATAAACCTTCAATGATTACAGACAGCGTTCAGAAGTTTGCAGCAGATCTTGTAGGAAAAAGTTTTGGCAGTGCGTTTAAAGACTTACAGAAAGGAGTTTCTTCGTGTACCAATGCATTGTGCCACTTAGCTGTCAAATTGACATCGTCTGTTTTTCAGATGGCATTTAATGAACTTAGAAGGCAGTGTGCATTTTCACTGAAAGAACGAGCCATCGGTAGCCTGGCTAGTCTTTTGGTGAGTGAAGCCTTATCAAATGCCTTGAAAGATTTACAGTATGTGAAAAAGCAGATGTTTACAAACACAGTCGCTAGATTTGCTGCGGACCTTGCAGAAGAGCTTGTTTTTGAAGGCATCATGGAAGTGTGTCAGTTTTCATGTCCTCCAACACCTGCATCTCAGCACTGTCCGTCCTTTGACTTTGAAGACAAAGTCGTGAAGTCCTATGCCAAAGATTTGTCTGAATCTGTAATACAAGAAGCATTCATAGAGCTGTCACAGACTGATGTGACCTTCACAACGGAGGCAGCAGCTAATATTTCTATGGGTAATGTCAAGTATGTGAGTGCAGAAAGTGTAGTGCCACCTACACAGACGTGCACATTTTCCTCATCCTTTAGCAGCCAAGCAGTTATGATGACAAAACCAGTGCAGGAGCATAAGAAGGAGTACACAGTGCAGCAGGCCTTGTTTTGTACTTCGGGAATTGTCACTTCCATACCAGTACCCTTGGCAGGCAGTGCCCTTCTCCCCTATCATATTTCATCGACTTTGTATCAGTCCAAGTCTCATCCGTCATCTGAGCATCGTAAAGCAAATGGTGGTTCTACCCCAGAGCACATCACCACAGAGAGCAGGGAAGAGGAAGTGGATTGTCTCAGCAATACCCTTCTACCTTCAGTACTCAATCCATGTAACCAGTATGACTTCAAACCAACCAACGGTGAAACTGACATACAGAGTCCTTCAGAATTAACTAGTGGCCCTGTGATTATTAGCAACTTTTCTGCAGCAATGGTACATACAATAGTCAATGAAACCTTAGAGTCCATGACAACCTTCAAAGCTACAAAAACTGTTGATGCACAGGGAGATTATTTAACTAAAACAAAGGGAAAAGCCTTTCCTCTTTCCCTTTGTGACCAAGCAGCACCACAGCAGAGCAAAGCTAGCAGTAAGGACATGTTTGCTGAGCAGTTATCAAAGTCTATTATTAAACATTCCCTGGATAAAAGCAAATCAATGCTTCCAAATATAGATGACAAAACAGTTAGTAAGGAATGTGTGCCTGTCCTTGGGGAAGAATCACAATTGATCTTGGAGGAATCTCCCAAATTCCTTGACTTTGCAGATCACTTACCTCCCTGTTCACTCTTGGTTGGAAAGCATTGTGTTCCAGAATGTAAAGATTCTGTGGGTTTGGGATTTTCTTCAGAGACACTGCCACCTTGTCCAGTGATGACAAGTCAGAAATCTGACTTGAAAGAACTTGTGAAGGATAAACCAGTGAAAAGGCATAATTTGAATAATACTGCACTTGAGCCTTTGTCTTTTGGGCAGGAAAGCTCTTTCCGTCACTCACATGCTTTATCATCTGCAGTGCTTACCTGTGCAGATGGTTTACATGTGGAAGATAAACAGAAAATCAGAGACAAAAATGTAATACCTGATACTCCTCCATCAACTCCTTTAGTGCCATCCCAGACTAGTTCTGAATGGGACATCAAAAAGTTAACCAAAAAGCTCAAGGGGGAGTTAGCCAAAGAATTTGCACCTGCAACACCACCTTCTACACCTCACAACTCCTCTGTTGGTAGTTTGTCAGAGAACGAACAAAATACTATAGAAAAGGAAGAGTTCATGTTGAAACTCATGCGATCTCTGTCAGAAGAAGTTGAAAGCAGTGAAGGTGAAGAGCACCCCGAAATGGATGTGAAGTCAGAGTACTCGGGGAAGAAAGTTCAGTTTGCAGAAGCATTAGCCACACACATCATTTCTCTTGCAACTGAAATGGCAGCCTCCCATTTAGATCATGAAGTGACTCGAGAAGCCAAGGTTCAAAACCCTCACTTAAATGTGCGGAGTCAAAGAAGTGTGCTGCCTGCTTCTTTAAATCACTTGGAGGAAAACATGCAGACATGCAGCTTTGCAAGTGACATGGCAGCTGATGTCATTGCAGAAGCCGAGAACATTGCAAAAGCTAGATGTTGTATGCTTTTCAGGCAGGAGAGGAACAGTTGTCATGTTGATGCTGGCCGAGATAAAGCAGAAGAGAAGCTGGGTGTGGAGAATGTCACGCATCCAAGAGAAGTAGATCAGTTTGTTCTTTCATTACCAAGTTGTACGCCAGGTCTGACATACAGGTATCCCAGTTGTGAAAGTGTGACAGATGAATATGCAGGTCATGTTATCCAAGTGCTGAAACAGGAAGGGGGCAATGGTGAGCTAATCATGGATCAGTATGCCAGTAGACTGGCCTATCGGTCTGTCAAGTCCGGAGTGCAAGAAGCAGCTAAGACAGTAAAACTGAAGTGCAGTTCAAAAAGGTTCCCTTTGCACAACTCTTCTGTGAAAATAAACAAAGAACTGTTGATGTTCTCAAATAAAGAGCGTCACCAGGAAGTTGATAAAAAAAGACAAAGAAAAAGAAGCGGCGGCCATCTTTGCAAATACCAACCATGTGAAAGGACACAGGATCCATGTAGAAACGAACTTTCTGGACTGTACAGTTTTTCAGCCTCTCTTGCTAGCATCATAACAAGAGATGTTAAGAAACAGCTGACAGCACCTACAGTTGATTTGCCACAATCCTCAACAGATTCCTGTCTTTTTGAAAAATCTACATGTATTGACAGGGGTGAGGATATTGTTGAACCAGAATTTTTGAAGTCTCATCAACCTTTGCAAAACCATGGATTCTGCCAGAATACAGGCAGCTTAAGTGGACATGGGCATGGAGAGAATGCTCAAGCTATAGAACAGTATGCTAGAAAAGTAGTGGATGACACTTTAGAGCTAAGTTTAGGACCTACAGTTTCCCACATTCCAGAGACCACAACATCAGCAGATAGACTCACTTATGCAGAAAAATTGTCACCACTCATGAATGGAGCTTGTAGATACTGTGACCTTAAGGAACTCCATGGTTGTGGCAGAAGTCCCTCTCAGCCCCTTTTAAAGCAGAGTGTGTGTGTAAGTGCTAAGCCAGGCTCACATTCAAAACTTAGTAGCATTCATCAGAAATCGAAAATTTTTCATCTTGATGTGCCTCAGATTCATGTTAATCTTGATAAAAGGGCAGTGCTTGCAGAGAAGATAGTTGCTGAAGCTATTGAAAAAGCAGAGAGAGAGCTGAGCAATACCAGTCTGGCAGCTGATAGTGGAATCGGACAAGATGGCATTAGCTTTGCTGAGAGCCTTACCACAGAAATCATGACATCAGCTATGACAAATGCTGAGCATGTTGTTAGCAGGTAGGTTTCAAATTTTCTTTGAGGTCTTGTGATAAAATGAAAAGTTAACTTTTCCTCTGTTCGTTTGTGTATGGCTTCATATCCTGTGCATGGTTTTCACATGAAGTATTTGTTTCCCGGTCTCTTTTGAGGGACATGATCATCCATTTACAGGGCTGAAAGATGAGAGAGTTAGAGGACACAGAACTAAGAAGCAGGTCAAATTAAATAAATGGGTGAATTTTATTCATGAATTTAGACTAGTATATTCACTACTCTTGAGATTAAAGTCTGTTCTGTGCTTGAAGCAGCTTTTTACACATGGCCTTGGACTGTTGTTATTCTTTCTCTCCTATCATAGCAGCTTCATAAGAGGAAGCTAGGTTCCTAAGCCCTCACTACAGGACCTAGCAAGTAACTTTGCTATTCCTTCTTCAGAATACTCATTTTCTTCTCTAGACCTGGCTGATACTATACCTTGAGTTCTTCCTGTAAGCTTGTTTTTATCAAGGCTCATATTTGCACAGACTCTTTTTTCGACTGCGGTTCTATGTCTCTTTTGTCATTTGTGCCAGGCTTCTCTAAGGACTGTTCAAAGTCCATGCAGTTGTTTGGAGTTCTGCTTCACATTTTGTGAAATTAAAATGATTTAAGGTTGAAGAATGATTGATTCAAATAGATTATTTGCTAAGATATTAACTGAATGGTTTCACTAATGTCCCTTTTCTCATAAATATTTAATTAATGGAAGCAATCATAATAGTAGTTGAATGCCACAAACCCATAATGCTCACCAGGGTGCTATATGAATATCAAATAGGAAAGCATATTATAGAGGAGTTTTAGAACAATAATATATCTAGACTTCATTTTCAATTACTGTGAGCCCAGTTACCTAGCAGTCATTGCGCACCCTCCTTTTTACTTCCTCCTGTGGATCATTTTCTTAAAAAAAAAAAAAAAGTGGTAGGTAAGAGGAAAACCTGTTAAATAAAATAAAGTTGTGATATAGGATGGCTATGTTTGGAATACTGAACTTAACTGAATTGTTATATCCTAAATACAAAGTGAGAATTGCCTAAAAAGTGAGGAGGGCAGGGACAGTTCAGGGCTTATTTTAGGTTTTAGGGATATAAAAGAAATTGTGTTCTCCAAGAGCTTATATTATAGTAGAATAAGACAAACAGCAGATAAATGAGCTGAATAAGGACAACAATGGACATGCTGATGTGGACAGGCAAAAGCCCACGAGGCCTCAACCCTACCCAAAGAGCTACAGGAATGCTGAGAGAGGGACATAGAGTCTTCCCCAGGTAAGAGCTCACCAGCTGGTTATCCAGTCCCAAATGGTTAGCCCTGAAACATACAAGGACTATTATATAGACCAAGCAGGCTGAATTTCAGTAATAGGAATATGTATGTCTATCTATCTCCATATATGTATGTAACAACAGTAAATGAGAAAAGAAGGTCATGAATTTGAAAGAGAACAAGGAAGGGTATATGGGAGGGGTTGGAGGGAGGAAAGGGGAAGGGAGAATGATGTAATTGTATTATAATTTAAAAGAAATAATTTAAAAAAGACATGTTGTGAGTTCCTTACTTAAGAAAGGGAGTTTTGTTAGCAGAGATGAGCAAGAACTGTTGGGGCTGGCTTGAATTTTTGAAAACTAATGGAGTAACACAGGCCAAGAACCAAAAGTGAAGGTAGAGTAAATGATTGGGAATCTAGGGGTGCTGGGATCTAGGCAAAGGGGTGAGTGCATGTGTGGGATGCAGCAGAGAGCTTGTGTTGCTATTGAGTGACTTGGGATTGTAGGTGAGCAAGTGGACATTATGAGGGGATCATACATCTTGATTGCTTTGAAGCCACAGGAAGGGTCTGATCAGAAAACTGGTAGTTTTTCTCTTCCTACTGAAAGCATCACTGTTTAGAACTGTGTAGAATATATACATACACAGATGGGGCAATTAGTAGAGTTGCTCTAAATGAGCCTTTTTTTGATTATGTCATAAAAATATGAATGGCCCTTCATTTAAAAAAGTGAAAGACTTTTTTAAAGATAGAGTCTTACAATATAGCCTTGGCTGGCCTAGAGCTATGTAGACCAGGCTGGCCTTGAACTCACAGAGATCTGTTGTCTTTACCTTCCAAGTGCTGGGATTAAAGGCCTGTGCCATCACTTCCTGCTAAGAAAGATGTTATGATTCATTTCCTGAAGAGATTTGTCTAGTTTGAATATAGGCTTGGTTGAGACAACTAGAATTTCAAGCTGCTTTTCTTGTTTTAAAAGCCAGAAGGAAGCTCCTTCAAATGCAAATGAAAGTGCTATTTTTACAGGGCAGATGATGCACTTAGACCTTGTAGTAAGGTGTGCTTCTGAGATGTGTCCTGTTGAAAATGTGAACCCAGAATGTAGATCAAATGATACATAAGGATGTCTGTCAGGTAGCAGACTTAGTCTCATTATTTTCAGATGCAGTGAAGTGTTCAGAGGATGTTGGTATGACTTGGAATATAATTTCTTAGAGTCATCTTTATCATTTTACTTCCTCATCAGAATCTGTGTTGCTTCAATTATTTTTAAAATTATTACCATATGTTCTATTCTTAGTTCAAAAGAAATAGAAGATTTTCAGTCAACTGAGTCATTTGGCAGCCAGCAGCTAAATCTCAGTGTTGGTGAGGACAGTACGGGTAGCTGGTCCAACTTAAGTTTTGAGGATGACCATCCAGATGAAAGCAGCAGTTTTCATCATCTCAGTGAAAGGTAACTCTGACTTTATAGTTAATTATGGATAAAGGTCTTCAGACTTCAGCAAAGTGAACAATGGGTTGACATTATTAATATTTGAAAATTCTCAATTTGACAATCTGTTCATACTTCTAACATTTTGTTACTTCCAGTTTGCCTTTTTTGTTTAATTTTATTTTAATTCTTTTTGAGGGGATGGCTCTCCTAGTTTGCTTAGGCTGGTCTTGAAGTTAAGTTTCTCCCTCAGCCTCTCAGGAGCTGGATTATAGGCTTAAGGACTATATTGCTGTGCCTGGCTTCTGAATGGTTTTGTCACATATTAAGTACAATAGGGAACAGAGCTAATGTTCTTTGGGTGTGCTGAATGCTGACTTGAAAAAATATTGTGGATACTGGATTTTACTTACATTTTAAGCTTTCATGGATGTTTTAGGAGTATAGTTGTGGATACTGGATTTTACTTACATTTTAAGCTTTCATGGATGTTTTAGGAGTATAATTTATCACTTTAAAGAGCATACTTTCTTTCATTAGTGAGTGAGGAAAAGGACAGTTAGGTAGCTGTAAAAGGCATCAAGATAGCCCTATAGTTTTCTTGATGCAAACTAAAATAAATATTATCTTTAGGAGCAGTAAGAAAGGGTCCTTAGACTTGTTCTGCTAGGAACAAAATGGTCAGCATTTATGTAGCATCTTATTGAAAATACAAAAATTGAATCTGATCAAATAAGAGTTTTGTATACCTGAAGACATTTACTTCATACGTAAATTTTCTTAGTTAACTTTGTTTGTAACAGTCATCTTTGAAATATTTTATTATGATATAATTGTTTCTTATATTCCCACCTCTGCCTAAAGGCATTCTTGGTTAGCTTATGAATTCCTATAAAGTATTTACTCACACTAACTGATAATTGAAATAGTAAGTTACATCCATGTTGAACCCTAGGGAGGAAGAGGTTCTCAGCATATTTCTATCAGGAGGTATGAGTGGAAAGGACCGTGTGAGGTTCCTGTTGACAAACCCTTGGAGTATGCCTGCTGGAGAGGCAGGAAGACGGCTTGAAGTTGGAGGAGAGGTTAAGGTGGCCGAAGGAAAGGAGATAACCTCTGGCCTGTTAGAGCACACCACCTTAGCCTAAGACTTAGAGGGTTGGTTTGGAACTTGGATACACATTTTTTTTCTTTTTCTTAGTTACTGTGTTTCTTATGCTATGGGAATCATCGATATTTCTTCCAATTTAGATGCAAAAAGTAGTTTTTAAAATGGGTACAGTAGAGCAGGGTCACAAATCATGATTTGCCCTATCTGGAATACTATATTAACATTTAAATTTTCTCTCTTCTTTAAGAAAAACAAACTTCTGAGACCTCAGCAGAGCATGACATTGAGCCTGGGAAATCTCGGTCTTTAGTTAAACTGGGGAGAAGCCAGTGGCCTTAGGAGGATTTGTAGAAAGCCGAGTAACTCAGAGAGGCTTCACTGATGTGATGTGAGGGGAAGCATTTACTGGGCTCTAGCCTTCACTCTGCCTGTAGCATTAGTGTATGTGTAGTATGGATGACTCAGAAACAAGACTGAAATGACAGTCTCATAACAGAACCAATACCAAATCAGGCTGAAGCCGAAATAATTTATACCTAATATGAGCAGAAGTGTTTAGGTTCAGAAATTAATTATGTGAACTCAGGTAGGGAGCACATCTGGCTTGAGAGAATTTGGTCAGAAAAAGATCTGTGCTTCACTTGTCCACTGTCAGCATCAACTAATGATGCCACATAGTTTTAAGATTTGGGCATGAAGCAGCTCCTAGGCCTCATCCTGGGTTGATAGTGTGCTTGTTGAACACAGGTTTCCAGAGCTTCTCTTCCAGAGATTGACTCATCGGGCCAGGCAGGGTTCTGAAAATCTGTCCTTGATAAGCACCTCAGTGATATCAATGTTTGGAGGCCACATTTGAAAGAGGTAGCTTTACAGGTTACGTCTTTCAGCGATCTTTGCTGTGGCTCCTGTTCATTCAGGTACATATATCAAGGTGAACTTTCACTCCAGATGGGAAGTTCAGTAAAGAGCAACCATTTTAAAAATTAGATTTTAACAGAGGTTTTGAAAGTATGTGTAATTAACTAACCAGTCACAAAGAGAAGCTGGCCCCTGTATGTGATTTTCTTGTGATTTTTGAATAGCTTGTGACCTTTTAAAAAAAGGTTATATTAGAGGCAAATATGTTGTTTTATGTCTGTAACCCTCTGAAGGCTGAGGCAGAAAGATTGTAAGTTCAAGGCTAGCCTGGGCAATTTAGCAAGACCCTATCTCAACAAACAAAACCCAGTTTAGAGTTGTGAAGTTAAGAGCTCAGTGGTAGAGCACTTTCCTACATTTGCAAGGTTTAGGTTCAGTTCCCAGCGCATCATACATACACAGTTTATATTTAGATAAGAGAGGAGGCCAGAATTGGACAACTCTTGAGATAATTTTTGTATCAGAATATATAGTAGTCATGATAGGAGTCAAAACCACAATGAATGATCTCAGTATTTAACTATCACTGCCTTGAGCATACACCTGCTCTAGAAATAGGCTATGAAAAGACAAAAAGAAAAAAAGTGGCGTCAGCACAGTGGATCAGGAATAGCATAGGAAGTCCACTAAGAAAAGAAAAACAGGCTTTGCTTTACTTTTATGTTGGCTCACGGTAGGGTGACCGCTCGCTCATACTTTCTGGTTTGGTTATGTGGCTCTGGTATACTCATTTAACAGTAACCCCTTCCATTGGAAGTATTCTACTTAGATGAAACATCACAGTCTTAGAGGGAACTCTATTAGCTAAAGGTATGTATTCTATAGATAACTGACTTCATATCTGAACCACTTTGAAAAATAGGAGCAAGATGAGGCTAGAGAGATTTTGCATTCTATTCTTTCTGTTACTTAGATGTTACTTCTTATATTTATCTAATACTTAAATGATGGATTTTTATTACTGAATAGATTGAAAAATCATTGTTAATAGAATATGGGTAAGAATTTTAATTTTGTGTTTTTCTTTGTTTAGAAAACTATTTTCTTAAAGTAGATAAGGTTTGAAATCATTAATTCTCTCTTTTTTGTTTATAGTTGTCTGTTCTGTGCTACTCTATTTTCTGTGTTTTAGTTTGCCTAATGACAGAGCGATGGTAAAACTTTGGTTATTTTTATGGTTTTATAATGGAATTGTATTCGTTTGAATATATGTTGAAAAGATGGCATAGTTTTACTTTCATTCTTAAGTGCATTGTTATTTGTCAAAGTTTAATATTGTTAAAGGGAAAATGGGTAAGTAAATTACTTGAGAATACTTAGAAACTACTTAGAATTTTAGGTAATCATGACTTTGGTTACTTTGACAATGCTTACTGATGCAGAAAAAGTGAGTTCATGTTAACCAAAATTTAGGTGTGTATAGATGATAACTTATGATTGACTAGCTGAGAGTAGGAAGTAAAGCTGCTTATCACTGCAAACTAATGTGCTTACTAATTATTTTAATAATTAGGAATGATTAGAATTTTTAAGTTGCATCTTGAAAATTTTAATCGGAAAAATAGACTATAATTTTGTTTTTGAATATGGTTGCTTTTCCCCCCCTCTACAAACAATGCTTTGCTGCAGTTGTAGATACAATGGTCTCCTTCTTCTTTTGGCTAGGTAATATAAGAAGTTCGAGCTGTGTGTGGCTTTCGTGATTGGCCAACTAGCCAAGCATATTGCTTAAATAAGCCCTGCTTATTCTAGCTTTCTTCTGAAGAAAATATGTGCTGTTTGCCACCTGCTTACTGTGTGTAATGTAAGAAATAAAGACAATTGGCATATTATTGTAATGAGCTCTTTAAAATCAGAAGGCAAGGAATGTTTGAGACAGTCTCCCCCACACCTTATCATTGTTTTGTACTATTCAGAATCCCAGAGGACCTCAACTTGTCTCTTTTCCTTTTTAAATTTTGTCCAAACTGAGAAGTAGGAAAGTGTATTTTTTTTTGTTCTTGTTTTTTATAAATTACATGTTAAGATTTGCCATGAGATATTAACTTTATCATGCAGTCATTTGTGATTCTAAAAATTCTGTTGTCTTAATCTGCAAAACAAATGTAAATTTAGAATAATTCCATGATGTTTTGAGGACAATGAAAAGAATCTCTAAGCGGCAGTGGTGGCACACGCCTTCAATCCCAGCACTTGAGAAGGGGAGGCCGGTGGATCTCTGTGAGTTCAAGGCTGGCCTGGTCTACAGAGCAAATTCCAGGACAAGCTACACAGAGAAATGCTATCTTGGGGGAAAAAAACCCCTAGTCTGCATCCCTGCCAATTATCCTTTATGAAATAGCAGTGACAGTCTCTTGTCCCCTCTAACGATGCTCCACTCCACTGTGGCAGCTTTAGGACAGAAGCTGTCCCAAGGAAACGCAGGTGGTCTCACTCTTCATTTTCTAGTTCAGCTCTGTTCTTTTCTCCCTCCAGCAGTAATGGTAACAGCAGTAGCTGGAGCAGTCTTGGTTTAGAAGGAGATTTGTATGAGGACAATTTATCCTTTCCAACATCAGACAGGTTGGTCCAGTTTAGACATTTAAAAACTGATGAGTCTTTCACCACTAATGCATGATGTCATGTTCTTAAGAGAGCCAATATGTATCAACCTGCTTTTCTTCTGAATTTTGACATGATTCTGCTCGATACATTTACATCTAATGAAAATTTCAACTAGCTGAAATATGACTGACATCTAATTGCAAAATGTGTGACTGTTTGCATGGGTTGCTCTGCTTGCTGTTTTTCATTCTACCAATGATTTCATTAAAAAAAAAAAAGAGCTTGCTTCCTACAGGATTTCTGTGGTTTTGTTTTGTTTTGTTTTCTTATATAGTTTAATTTCATATATAAAAAGAGTAGAAAAATTGTTTTAAAACATGTTAAATGGCATTAGTAGAAGCAGTAATACTTCATTATTCATGGCATTCTATGATCTTCAAATAGTATATTACTTAAAACCAAATTAGAATATTTCACCTTCATTTGAAGTTGCTTGACTTTAAATGTCATGATAAGGAAGGGCTTCTGTAGGCACTGTGTGCAATCCAGATTTTAACATGAAATAATGTGAGAAGCAAAGCTTCCTTTTGATTGTCATTTCCTCCTTTCTAAATGTCATATGTCATATTGTAACATTTCATTCCTTACTACTTTTCTCAGAAGTGGTTTTAATCTATTACTAATTAAGCTTTTTTTTTTTAACTACTTCTGTTGTTTTCTTTGAAAAGTGATGGACCAGATGATAGAGATGACGATCAGGAGGATGGTGTGGAAGGTTAGTCAAAGTTTGTTTCTCTACGCCCTTGTTTGTGTAAGTCCTTATGGTTTGTATTTATGCTCCTTGTAGATAGATTTGGATTGTTAGTATGAAACACCACAAATCGCCCTGTCTCAGAGACAGAAAGTTTGAGGAAGAAGCTTAGGATACATTTTTCTTTTCAAAATTTAAGTCTAAAATCCTTACTGATGTTACAGAATTAATTTATTGTAATTGCAGCATATGTATTACTCTGTGTACTAGTTACTCTGCTTGTGGCTGTGACAAAGTGCTTGCAGAAAGGGAAGGAGTTTCAGGCAGGCATGGCAGTGGGAACTGGTGTCTGGAGGAGGGGCAGGCAAGAACCCAGCAGGAGCAGAGGGTCTGCAATCCTCAAAGACCTACCTAGTGACCTGCCTCTGTAATAATGGCTCCAAGTAATAATGATTTCACAGTGTCTCAAAACAGTGCTACTTAGCTGGGACCAGGAGTTCAGTCAAACTATAACTCCCATGTTTTTCTTCAAATTGGTAAATTACAGAATTGGTATTTTTGTCAAACTTACATGAGCTGAAAAGTAAACATGGAAAGGCACTTTAAATGTCCCTACCCCTCTCCCTCTTCTACTTCTAATTCTGTGCTCACACACACACAGATTTGAAGGAAACAGTCCTTCCTTTAGTGAACAGAGTTCTTATGCCAACACTAGATATCATTGGCTGCAGAGCTTTGAACATGGTTTGTGATCTTAACTCATATACTAAAATATCCAAGTGAGCCTAGAGACTTCATTCACGGCAAACCTGTTTTCATTGTATTCAGATAGTTTTTGAACTATGTCTTCCTCATATCTTCGTTTTTTAAAGTATGAAAATGATAATACTTTCTATAAAATAGCACATTTGAATTGAACGAGTGAAGTTTTGGTGTTTCATTAGAAGTAGGAAAACGGAGGGCTAGGGATGGCTTAGTGTGTTCTATGTTGAGAGTACAGTCCTGTACCCTTGTGCCAAAAATGTAGGCACACTCAGACACTGACAAAATGTTAAAGAGAATTTCTTGAGATATAGAGTACAACCCTTGAGTTTGCAGCCAGTTTATCCACAGTGTTCTTTTTCAGCTGACATTGTCAGATTGAAGATTACTGCTGTTTAAAAATTTTTAAATTACATTTGTTTGTTTTGTATAAGTGCACATGTATGTGTGTGCCTAGCTGTGAACACATGAATGCCTCTATTGATGCATCATCTCACATGGAGTCAGTTCTCTCTTTCTACCATGTGGGACCTACAAGTCGAACTCAGGTCCTCAGGCTTGGCAGCAAGTGCCTTTACCAGCCGAGTCATCCCACTAACCCAGATTATTTATATATATAAAGATTTATCTTTATTTAATGCAAATGGATGTTTTGCCTACATCTGTCTGTGTAGTACCCAAGAAGGCCAGAAGAGAGAATCAGATTTCCCTGGAACTGGAGTTACAGACAGTTAAGAGCTACCATGTGGGTGATGGGTGTCAAATATGTCTCCTTTGCAAGAGCAGCCAGTGCTCTTAACTACTAAGTCTCTCCAGCCCTTGTTATAATTTTTAGTGTCAGAGATAGTCTACGTAATGTTTGCTTTACTTTTGCTCATTAATGTGTTGGTCTTTAAAAGTCATATACCTCTCCCATATACCTCTCCCTAATAACTCTCATGAACATAATTATTTCATGAACATGGTTATGCATGTCATGTTATTACTTAGTTACTATTATTCTTAGTTATTACTTAGTTATTGCTCAACTAACTTTGCTGAGGAATGATTAAGAGAAGTGGTACAAGTTAATATGAGTAAAATAATTCATTAAAAGAATTAATCAGTGGGCCTGAGAATCTTTTCTGTTATGTGGAAACCAGGAGTTAACTATATGCGGTTGTGTCTTCCTCAGCTCTTGATATGATAGGCATCTCTCATATACAAAGTAACAGTGGACTTGAAATTTGTTCCAGTAGAAGATCGATTGCTTTCGATTTACAGAAAGCCTCAAAATTAGGGAATTAGAGATAACCTGCTTTTTAAACCTCCCTCCCTTCCTTCCTTTTTATTCATTTTGGTTAGAAGGCTTCAGCCCTAACTTCTGTTGAATTTCCCATCAGGCCAGGCAAACAGCAGGCCCTAACCGAGGAAACCCAAGCAATGTGGAGAAGCATTAAGTGACTTAGTTTCCAACCCTAGAAACACTGCAGGGTTTACTGGGGGCCTTAGACACTATTTTGTTCCATAGTATATCAGATCTTTAAGACAAACAGACATACAAACCATTTCCTAAATTAATTTTAAGTTAAGTGTTATGTTTAGCATACAAAGAGATGAGTGGGTTCCATGTTGTTTTCTGAATGTGTGTCATTCTACTTTCCTCTTACTCATCCCTGTCCCTCATTGTCCCTCATTCCCTGTGCTTCTCTCTTGTTGGTCCCTCTCCCTACCACAGAACCTCCCTTCTGCTCATGTCACATGACTCCCATTACCCTTGCTGCCCTCCCCCTTGGGATGTTTTCCTTTCTTCTCAGGGGTCTTCCTTCTGCTTTCATGACCCACACAAACATACATGTATGTATGTATGTATGTATGTATATATGTATATGTATGCGTAATTTTAAATGTTGATTCTGCATATGAAAGAAAACGTACACTAGACCTACTTTTGAATGAGACTAACTGGCACAAAGGGAGAGAAAAGATAAATTCCTGAGAATACCATGGGTCAGAATTTTTACATTAAAAATAAAGGGCCAACACAAATTCTAAAAATGATCTGTAGTGGTTTAGGGTTCCTTATATACTTTAACAGAAAAATGTCCATCAACAACAAAGAAATCCATCAGCATTTCCATTATTAGTACATACTGGCTTGTGGACTGAAAGATGTTTATCAACAACAAAGAAATCCATCAGCATTTCCATTATTAGTACATACTGGCTTGCGACTGTTAGCATGCCTTAGGTATTTCTTGTACTCTGTCATCAGGAGTATTGAACATGATATTGGTTCCATCAGCCAGCTAGGATATCACCTTTGTATTCAAAGCATCATTCTCCTTAACAAGAAAATAAACTGGAGAGCAGTGACTTTCTGTATTATATTTAAATTCACTTCAAACAGTATTTTACATTTGTCCCATCAGTAAATAATCAAAGTTATTCCTTTGTTTTAGCATTATTTTGTCCTTAAGAAATGCTTTATTTGGTATTTTGGTATTATGATATTAATAATATAAAAGTTAAGGAATGCATTCACTGGAGTCTTTAAATTGAAACCAGAGTTTTGAAAGTTGAGTTGATGAATTTCACTTCATATTGTTTAAATTTACTGTTAGATTTGCAGCAAAATGGAAGGACTCTACTAATTACAAACATTGACATGGAGCTGGGAGCAGTAGACCCTCAACTAAGGATTATTCTTCAGTGGCTCATTGCCTCGGAGGCTGACGTTGCAGAACTTTATTTCCATGACTCTTCAAAGAAGGAGTTTGTATTAGTAAGTACCTCCCTTCTAGAGCGGTTGTGAGGAAATAGTAACACTATGTAATGATCTTACCACATTGTTGGTTTAGCAAAATGCTTATCCTTAAGGATAAATGGGAGATGACATAAGAAGATATAAACATACTTATATGTCACCAGGCAGTGGTGGCGCATGCCTTTAATCCCAGCCCTTGGGAGGCAGAGGCAGGTGGATCTCTGAGTTCGAGGCCAGCCTGGTCTACAGAGTGAGTTCCAGGACAGGCACCAAAACTACACAGAGAAACCCTGTCTCGATAAACAAACAAACAAAAAACTTATATATATATATATATATATATATATATATATATATATATATAACTTATATAAGAGAAGCTAGATTAAAGACTTATCCTGAAAGACACTGTCAACAAAGTGAGAAGACAATGTACATATGGAAGGAAATACTTGAAATTGTCTATCTGGTAAAGTTCTTAGACCTAGCACATATAAAGAACTCCATCTTAAAAATAAAAAGGCACATAGTCTAACTTAAAAATGGACTAAGAGTTATTACTACATGTCTTAGTTAGGGTTTTTATTGCTGTGGTGAAACACCATGACCCAAAGCAAGTTGGGGAGGAAAGGGTTTATTTGACTTACCCTTCCATATTGCTGTTCACTAATAAAGAAATCCAGGCCAGGTGGTGGTGGCGCACGCCTTTAATCCCAGCACTTGGGAGGCAGAGCCAGGCGGATCTCTGTGAGTTCGAGGCCAGCCTGGGCTACCAAGTGAGTTCCAGGAAAGGCGCAAAGCTACACAGAGAAACCCTGTCTCGAAAAAAAACAAAAAAAAAAACAAAAAACAAAAAAAGAAATCCAGGACAGGAACTCTAAACAGGGCAGGAACCTGGAGGCAGGAGCTGATGCAGAGGCCATGGAGGCATGCTGCTTACTGGCTTGCTTCTCCTGGCTTGCTCAGCCTGCTTTCTTATTTATTTAATAAATGTTTTAATTTTATAATTAATTTAAATTTACATATCAGCCACGGATTCCCCTATCCTCCCTTCTTCCACCCCCCAGCCTTCCCCCCCCAACCCACCCCCCATTCTTACCTCCTCCAAGGCAAGGTCTCGCCTAGAACCCACCACCACCAGCCCAGGGATGGCACCACCCACCATCAGCTGGGCCCTCCCCCATTGATGACTAATTGAGAAAATGCCTTACAGCTGGATCTCATGGAGGCATTTCCTCAACTGAGGCTCCTTCCTCTGATGGCTCTAGTTTGTGTCAAGTTGACACAAAGCCAGCCAGTACACTGCATGTCTTTGGAAAATAAAAACATGAAAGGGTGTTCAACTTTACTAGCCATTAGGAAAATGCAAATCAAAAGCACTGCACTCTTCACACCCTGTAGGGTAACTATCAAGGTGGGTAATACCAAGTGTGGGAGGATGTGGAGACACTGCATCCTTAATACAGTTCTTGGTGAGAATCTAAAATGGTGAAGCTGTTGTGGAAAACATCTGACAGATCCCCAAAATGCAAAGTACAATATTACCTTGTTACCCAGCATTCCACTGATGGGTGGTATGCGCTTGAGGGACATGACAACATATGTGCAGAAAACATATCTACATAAAAACCTGTGCAGAAATGTCCATGGCAACATTATTCATGGTAGGAATAAAGTAAGAATGTATTATAGGCCTATAATCCCAGCACTGTGGCGGCAGAGGCAGGAGGATTACTGTATATTTGAGGCCACCCTAGGCTAAATAGAGAGTTCTGGCAAAGGTAGGTATACATAGTAAGATCCTGTCTCAAAGAAACAAACCAGGAGAAAACAAAAAGAATTCTCTACCTGTCCACCAGCTAATGAATAGAGAGGGGGGTTTGGTGGTTAGTACAAAGTAGTAGGGCATTGAGCTGTGCTATCCCACGGTAAACCCTCAAGATAACTATGCTGAGCAGAAGACCACACACACAATTTACATTGACATTTCTATGAAATGCCCCAAAATACACAAATCTATAAGACACAAAGTAGATGAGTGCTTTATCTGAAGGTGTTCTGGAAGATGAAGAGGAGCTTCTGATGTAGAGGGCTTCCTTCTGGTGTGAGGAGAGAACATTCCAGTATAAATTGTGTGGTAGTTGTCTTCAGTTCATTGATATACCAAAAACCCATTGCATATGAATTATATCCCACAGCTGTTTAAAGAAAAGAACATTTGCAGTAAAATAGTTTTTCAGAATTTATTTTACAGATATTTTCAAACTTAAGAATTCTTACAGAGTTGAATAGACAGAAAAGTGAGTGAGGCCGTTCTGTTTTGCTCTGGAAGACTTTGTTTAAACCTCTGTTTACTCTTTTGCTTGCTTTTTTGTTGAAGCATTACATTTCTTAACTTAGAAAGCCATGTTTCCGTTGGGGCTGGAATGTTTTCCAGAATACAAACCACACTATATGGTGTGGAAAGAAAATCCACATCCTTCTATTAAGCTTGACATTGTCGTTATTATTTTATGTTCCTAATTGAGGGTGTGGCAGATGTATTTAGTTAGGTGAAGAATTTCCTGTAGATGGTTTGACTCTACACTCCCACACAGACTGTGCACTGCCAAAGTTTGTGTTCTGTTTCTAGCAGTCCTGAAGTGTCATTCTGTGGAGATGTGTTTATAAAGGGTGAGAAAGGAAAATGTTTAATTTGGGTAAAGGGGTGGTGGTTGAGGGCAAATCTCATAACTGGGAAAGAATATTTCATTGTCAACAGCAGGTTCCCAGTTTTGTCTGAAGATAAAAATAAAAACTCATTGGCACGGCATTGTTTTCTGTTGATGGGTGTTAATGTCTGTTAATCCTTCTTTCTTAGCTTTCAAAACAATTACAAGAGAAAGGATGGAGAGTGGGAGATGTCCTGCAGGCTGTGTTTAAATACTACGAAATGCTGGAAAAAACTTCAAGTGAGGGAAGAAGCAAGTCGCTCTTCGATTGGCTTTTGGAAAACGCCTAGAACAACCTCCAGACCAGTATATTTGAATGTTTGTTTTAGGAAGTAAAGAAACTGATGACTTAGGTTTAGGGTGAAATTCAAATACAGAATATTAACATTTTAATTGAATTGAGAGGAAAGTAAGAAGCCTTTTCAGTGCTTTCTGTCATCATACTGTATATGGTTCATACTTTTGTAATCTTTGTCAAAGTATTCTCTTTACTTATTCTTCTATACATGTGTTTGTGCTGTGACGCTGAGAAATGTCTGTGAAGGAGGATCTAACCCTGAGGCTGAGGCATTGTCTGACAGCTTGTTTGGATCCACATAGTGCTGCTGCAAACAGGGCTGAGGCGGCTGGCCTGGCCCATGTGATGATTTTGTTCCTTTGAAAACAAGTGGCATCTGATGATAAGTCATCTGACGTCAAGAAAGATATTTTGTTGTTTGTTTATTTCTGATAAGTTTGTAATCTTTATGTACTATTCTTTCAGATCAGCTTCCACAGTTCAGCTATTGGTACTTGTAGATTTCCCCAGATATTTAAGTTGTTAGCATACTCCTTAGTGATTTAGGATTCTGTGAACGCCGTAAGTGAGTTTCCTTAGGCTTCCATCAAGCGATGTTATTTGTTAATGCTGCCAATCATTCTGGAGTGAGAAAGAAAAGGGGGTGGGGGAGAGGTGTTGTGAGAGAGTGTGTGTGTGTGCAAGAATAAACTGGAACTTTCCCACTAGTTTATTCTCCTTTACTTTAGTATTTTCTTAGTTAGAAACCCACCGTTAACATTAAATAAAATGTCTAGATATTTATTGTGCAGTAAGAATTTTGTCTTTGATTTATTCCACAAATAAAAATTCAGGTTGTAAAACACATTGAAAATTTAAAAATTAATGTGGAAATACACTTAGAGGAGCTAATAATGATTTTCAGTGTTGGATTTTTGAAGAAGAAAAAAAAAACCCACTTCCCTAAGAATAATTTTCTTTTAGCACAGTAGGTACCCCTCCCTCAATAAAATGGATCTGACTGTGATGTTTCCTCACATCATCTTTGGCTCCACATTCCCTACTGCGGTTTTAGAAACCGCATGTTGTGTTGACGTGAGTGAGACTGAGCCAGGCTCTGTCTCGGTTGTGTCTACGATGTGTGCAAATGTTGTACGCATTCCTTCCACTAATGGATTCTGGAATCAAGGGTAAATCATTTTTTTGTGTGGGGCTGTTGATTGGGCTCTATTATTTTCTTTTTCCCCCAAGCTCTGACTTTTCTAGAAGCTGCAGTGAATAGAAGGCACGGCACCTACCAGGGCACTTGCATGAATTTGCATTAGTAATTATGGTGGAGAAATGTATTTTACAGAGAAAGCCTCACCTTTGCTTTGGTGTGCTTTCGTGCAGTTGTGGGCTTATACTATACTTGTACAAGGAACTATCACACTGCACTTACGTAATTTGGGTGTATGTCTTGGTTAGATTAACAGGAAAGCTGAGTTCTAAATTTCTCTGAAGTGGGAATGACTATATATTGGATTTATAAAATGGAAACTGCTTAGGCTTATTTATGTTAATGGCATAGTCATTTGAGGCAAGCTTCCCGTTCTGCTCCTGTTTCTTTGGCATTTTGGTGAAGCTGCGTTATGCCCAGTGTTCTTTATTTAAGTGCTACCCAGTGACAGCAGTCAGAGGCGTTGGTCTGAGTGGTAACACTAATAGCAGGACTCACAACTGTGTCAGTTCTATGTGCAGGACCACGGAGAAAGTTAGAGGTATTGGCAGGGTGAGCAGAAGTATAGGCTGTTTCCCTGTAGAAGGTGTTGGCATGTAGAGCGAGGCTATGGGCCAGGTGCAGTGTAAAGCAAGCTGTTCTGAAGTATTCTGTGGTTTTCCCAGACTCGCTCCATCTGTTTGTGTGTTCAGTCTTCAGAACTCCTCTGCTGAGGTAGCTCCATCTTACAGATCTCTTGACATATTTATATTGGAACATTGTATACTGCTATTATGTACATTTTTGCTCCTAATGAAATACATTTCACTGGAAACTGTTAAAATTGTGATGTGCAGTGAGCTGATTTGCCAATTTTAAAGGCGTTTTGTGATAGACAGAAAGAAAGTGAGAGACCTCTGCTGAGGAGCTTCTGGACCTATCTCACACCAAAATAGTGCATTTGTTTGTGTCCATCTTTTCCTAAGTTGAGTTTAAATGACATTTGTATTTTATGTGTTATTAATGTTGATTTTGAAAATTATTTCCTCACTCATTCAAGAGGAAAGTTTCACCAAAAAAAAAAAAAAAAAAAAAAAAAAAAGCCACAGAACAAATTGCAATACAGATGGCCTGGCTCCTTGTGATGTAAAGCTAACGTTACAACAGCCTTCAGTGAACACATGTAGTATCTTTGTACTTTGAGAAATGCTTCATTTATCCCTGAAGATATTTAATGTGAATTAGTTTAATTCATACTACTATAATTCTGCTTAGCAAAGGATTTATATTGCTGGTAGGAAGAAGCTCTATGTATTAAATGCACTGTGTAGAAAGTAATGATAATTGACCCCTTTGACAGCTGGCAGCTTTGACAGTGGTGGTGCATGTTCTCCATCATCGGTTCTAGAGCCACGTGACTGCCTGCTGTTTCTCCACAACTCCTATCACCAGTTTCTAATCAGTGTATTATTTTGTAATTTTTCAGAGAAATCTTTACACAGAATTTAAATATGCTGAGTCCGCACATGGATAGGGAAAATGCTTTCTATTTAAAACCCTGTCTGCCTGTCACCAGCACACAAGAAGTTGAGAATGTCTGTGGGAATTGGAAGGGCCGTACTCAAGTGAGGTGCGCTTTTCTCATTTTCAGCACAAGCCCTGTAGGCATCCCGTGTTTACTGTGTGCCTGCTCTGCACAAGCAGGCACGGTGCTGGTCACTCCTGCCACTTTATTTATTTATTTTGACCATCTGTACATTCCTTTCATGTAGTTAGAGCTGCTGTTCTACAAGTTCTTATTTCAATTTGTTGTACGGTTTGAATACTATTTAATGCCAGGTTTATATGTTGCTGGATTCTTGCTGCCTTTGGTTGCTTGTGTCGTGTTCAAAGTAATCTGCATTCTTATTCAGTTACTGAATATTTAATAGAAGCGACTTAGAATAATTGTGGCCATCTATTTGAGTTTGCGCAATTAGTGCATTAAGGTCTTAGAATGTGTAATAGTAACTCCTCTTTTTGCTCTTGAGTAATTTAATCTTCATTTACCAAAATAGGAACTTCAAGATGCACTTAAGTTTGGTTTTAGCAGTGGCTCAAAAAACATTTCAGAAATTACTTTTGTAATAATTTGCAATTAATTGTTCTTTTCTCTTTACTCTTGTTCAAACCTGTGATCTTTCCTCTCCCAGCTAAGAATTATTCAATAAATTTAAGAACCGTCAAGCTGTGGTTTTCATTCTGTAGCATCCTGTTCATTCTGTGTTGAACTAAAACAAAGGCATTCAAGACTGCTATGTTAGAAGACACAAGAGGAGCTAAATGCTTATGTCATGGCTTTGTTTTGTTTTGTGTTTTGAGGCAGGGTTTTTCTGTGTAGCCTTGGCTGCTTTGGAACTCGCTCTGTAGACCAAGCTGCCTTCAAACTCAGAGATCTGCCTGTCTCTGCCTCTCAAGGGCAGGGATTGAAGGTGTGAGCCCGGCTTATGTCCTGGTTTTTGAGGACAAGTGAAGTTAGGAATATTTTAGTTGAACACTAGATTCTAACCATTTCAGAGAGGCCTTTAAGAGTACTGTAGGGATTTAGAAGCCAGGCTGCCCATTTTGGATTTGATGCGAAGTTGAAGGATGTTGCCTCAAACATGAGCATGATTCTAAAATTCTTTTGATCTAGTTCGTGCATTCTTTGGTAATGTACAGAGATCATACCTAAGACATCAGGTATGTGAGAAAATACATGGGAAAGTTAGCTCCTGGTTTTAGCTATTAACATGCATGATAGCAGTAGTAGTGGAACTCCACACTTACATAAGTTGCAATAGGAAAACGGAAAAAAATAGTATTGGTAGATGTGAAGGTATGAGTTAAATTTATAGTGGGATTTTACTAGTAGAATTTAAATATTTTTTATGTTTAGAAATATTGAGTATGGGGGAAATGAACTAAAAGTACAGTTGTTAGTTAATTTACTCACACCTCACACTTTAAACTTTCTTCATTATCAGTATTATATCTCAGAGTGAGACTTACTACCATCTGTGAACCTACATGCTATTACTGTTCAAATCCCATGATTTATGTTAAGATTTACTCTTAGTATTACATATCCTATGAGTTTGGACATACACCATTGTAGGATCATACAAGTACATCCATTGTCTGGTAAGCATTTGATACCCAGAAACTAGAGAACTCATTAATGCTTCAAAACGCTTAGAACTAATAGCAGACATGTAAACCTTGGGTATTAAGTACATTATGGTCATAAAGAAGACAATTAAATGCTGACACAAACTAAGGAAGATTCCAAAAGGAAAGGTCCCAAAGAATAAGACATGTAGCAGGGTTTTTTGAGTGAGTTGAGGCAGGAGATCATTTGTGATTTGTTCTGAGTACAGCATGGAGAATGAGACAGAGGGCATGAAGCATCAACACAATTTCCTGAGTGTGAAAGATGGAGAGCTCATTCGTGTATGCAGAGATGAGTACTCCATGATGTCCTGCACTATGAAAAGGATGAGGGGCAAACACGCAATGGAGAGGAGATGTCACATCTTTTTCTCTTGTCCTTTGTAGTTCTGCAGTTGTCACACACTTACTTTTGTTCTATAGGCCAAGGCTGAAAATAGCAGATTGAAAGGAGTGACAGAGATTTGAGAGGGAATTCAAGGGTCAATGAGATGACTCAGCAGGGTAAAATGCTTATGGAACAAAGCCTGAAGACTTGAGTTCAATCCCCAGGACCCACGTAAAGGTGGAGAAGAGAACTGATCCACATAATTGTCCAAATACACAAATGCGTACATACACAAACACTTAACTAACACTAATAAAAATTTTAATTAAAAATAAAACTGAAAAGGGACTTAAGCCCCAAGTTTGTCTTTAGCTCTTCCCTATGTACCACCCCCCTTTAAATAAATACCATAATGGATTTCGTGTTTTATAGTAAGTGATTGAGATTGGACTTTAAAATTTTTTTTTTTTTTAAATTTTTGGTGGAGTCACATTCAGCGTGGAGTCAGCATTCATGTTGAAATCAAAGGACAACTTGTGGGAGTTGGTTCTGTTCTACCTTTTAGGTTCTGGGGATCAAGCTCAGTCATGGGGCTTGGCAGCAAGTACTTGTGACCACTGAGCCAGCTTTGTTAGACCGAGGCTAGACTTTAAAAATAAGAGTTCTGGTGTGTTTGGCTTGATAGATGATCTTTTTAAAGTAAGTACGAGCACTAAAGGAGATGCTGCATTTAAATATGCTTTGAATTAATCAGCTTAATTTGAATGCTCAGGAGCAGCAATATAATAATAATCCAGTAGGAGATAAATGACGATCGTCTCTTGTTCCAGAGCAGGTTTTCATTACTCCTGGAAGGTCATACTCTCTATGTCTTGCTCCTGTTTCTTGGGGCCTGTGCATGGAGGTGTTTTGTTCTGAGACAGGAGCTCCCTTGGGTAATCCAGGCTGGTCTCTTAACTAAATGTTTCCTTGCCTTAGCCTCTGAGTCTGAGAGAAGGGAGGGTCATTTGTGAGTTCCAGGCCAGCCTAGGCTACGTAGCAAGATCTTGTCTTAAGAAGCCCAAATAACTTAAGTTTAAAACACTGTATGTACAGGAGAAGGGTAAAGTTAGGGGCAAACAGGAAAAAAAAAATTCCACAAGTTTCTGTTCGATCTTTAGAAGTGAATAAAGGCACGGAAAACCTACCCCACAGTTCATGAGCTCAGCTCCGGTGTGAGCCTGTGGCCTCAACTGACCCCAGTGGGTAGTTTGAAGTGTTCCGAGCAAGGAACTGCTTTAACATTCTTCTGTTAAGTCTCCATGCCTGTCAAAGTGAAAAAAAGATCTTGAGCCATCTTTACCCCCGACTTCAGTTATTTCTAAAGGCTCTAAAGTCCAAACCGTAAAAAGATAGGGAAATGAGAAATAAAGTATAGTTTTTAGGAAAAAAAGAATTGTAAAACCATGAGTGAAAGTGATTGACTTAGAACCAGCTCACAGACTGGTGTAAGAATATGAAGTAGCTGTCATTTTTTTTTTAATTTAATTTAATTTTATTTTAAAATACAATTCAGTTCTACATATCAGCCGCGGATTCCTTTGTTCTCCCCCCTCCTGCCACCCTCCCCTTCCCCCCAGCCTACCCTCTATTCCCACGTCCTCCAGGGCAAAGCCTCCCCCGAGGACTGAGATCAACCTGGTAGACTCAGTCCAGGCAGGTCCAGTCCCCTCCTCCCAGGCCGAGCCAAGAGACCCTGTATAAGCCCCAGGTTTCAAACAGCCAACTCATGCAATGAGCACAGGACCCGGTCCCACTGCCTGGATGCCTCCCAAACAGATCAAGCCAATCAACTATCTCACCCATTCAGAGGGCCTGATCCCATTGGGGGCCCCTCAGCCATTGGTTCATAGTTCGTGTGTTTCCATTTGTTTGGCTATTTGTCCCTGTGCTTTATCCAACCTTGATTTCAACAATTCTTGCTCATATAAACCCTCCTCTTTCTTGCTAATTGGACTCTTGGAGCCCCACCCAGGGCCTAGCCGTGGATCTCTGCATCCAGTTCCCTCAGTCATTGGATGGGGTTTCTAGCACGACAATTAGGGTGTTTGGCCATCCCATCACCAGAGTAGGTCAGTTCGGGCTGTCTCTCAACCATTGCCAGCAGTCTATTGTGGGGGTATCTTTGTGGATTTCTGTGGGCCTCTCTAGCACTTTGCTTCTTCCTATTCTCATGTGGTCTTCATTTACCATGGTCTCCTATTCCTTGTTCTCCCTCTCTGTTCTTGATCCAGCTGGGATCTCCACTTTTAAGACACAGGATCCAGGTGGTGGTGGTGCACACCTTTAATCCCAGCACAGAAGTAGAGGCAGTTGGATCTCTGTGAGTTTGAGGCCAGCCTGGTCTACAGAGAGAGTTCCAGGACAGCCAGGGCTACACAGAGAAACCCTGTCTTAAAAACAAACAACAATAAGAAAGACAGGAAAGTGTAAATATGAGTAGAAAGCTACTTCACATCTACTAAGATGACTAAAATAACAACATAGATAATACCAAGTGTTGCCAAGGTTATAAAGAAAGTGAAGTCTATAGACAGTGCTGCTGTTAAGGAATTTAAAATAATGCAACCACTTCAAAAAGTGTTTGTCAGTTCAGCTTCTATGTAGGATGCCATGTACCCTAGCATCCTCTTTCCTATAGATATGCCCATGAGAAGAGAAAATGTCTCCACAAAAACTTGTAAATAAATACAGCATTATTCTTAATAGCTCCAGAGTACAAGCAACCCAAATGACAACCAGTTGAAGAATGCATAAAGAGATTGTGGTTTATTTGTACAATATTATTTAACCTTTAAAAAATGAAGTAGAGATCTGTGCAACAGTGTGATTGAGCCTTGAAAACAGTATGTTAATTATAAGAAGTCAGGCACAGGAAATCAACCATTGTATGATTCCATATACATATATATATATATATATAGTATATATCATATGCACATTATATATGTATATAGATTGTGTATACAATAAGCAGGTTTCAGCAGATTGTAGGTTAGTGTTTGCTAGTTGCTGGGGGAAGAAGGCGATGAGGAGTGACTGTTTAGTGATACAGGGTTTCATTGAGAGTGATGAAATAGTTCTAGAACTAGATCTGATGATGTTAATCCAGTTCTTTGAATATACTAAAACCCCACTGAATTGTGTATTTTAAAACAATGAATTTCATAACGTAGGCCATGCCCAATACATCTTACATGGATCAAGAAAAATAGTATTTAGAAGCAAGAATGTCTTTTAAATGTAAGCCAAAATAACTGAGACTCACTATTTGAGGTTGACAGTAGATTAGATATAGCTGAGAGAATTGGTGAATTGGAAAAAACTATACAGACTGTTTCTCAAAGTCAGTGATGGGGTAGATATACAAAAGAGTTGGTGTAAAAGTGTTAAGAGAGAAGAATCTAACAGAAAAAAATCCTAAATAATGGAAAAGATTGCTGGAAAAATCTCAGAAACAGCCATTCATAGACTTAATCTAAATATCTTAAAACCTGTATTTTCAAGGGATGTATGCATGCAGACATGTATTTTTACTTTTCAGGACTATTCAATAAGCTAAAATTTCCAGGGTGACTGATAAAAGAATAGACGTATTAAAAATTAGTAGAGGAAAATATAAGTGAAGTTAAAAAGACAGAAAGAATCCAGATGTGTCAGTGTCAAAACT